TGCCAATTCGATGTGTACGTGCCAACGTGCTCCCATGCTGTGTGTAGGTTTTTGGGTGCAAAAGCATCCACGCTGGACAATTTATTATCGGGTGGCTAACGTGTACGTCAATCGGCCGTGAGGCTAACAAGACCTGCTTTTGCTATCTCTTGAAGTAAAAATGCAAATTACTCGGTGGAATTCAATCGGGTTGATAACAATTCCGGCTCACTGTTTTAAAATTTATTTATTTTCGAGAGAGTTAAGTCTAGTCTATGAAAAAAATTAATGGCTCTCGAGTTAAATAGATATTTCACTTTGTTTACCCCTATGAATCATCAACTAGATGTAGTATTTTAGCTGCTAAAACGGCTATTTTACTACCATATTTAGAGAACGGTTAATTTAGTCTGAGGTAATAAACGAGACATTTGACTTTCCATTTCCGGACACCTCGATCACAAAGCCTGGATCTCTTGGGGTCAATTATTGCGTTCTTTTGATTCAATTTAAATTTAAAAGATATCTATAATAAAAAGAACAAGAACGTGGGCATTCCAGCTCCTATTAACACATTGCAGGTACCGCACGCCAAGTTTTAAAAGTGAATTGTTTAAAATTACACAAATTTTCTCACAAAATGTCGGAAAATTTCTATCATCAAATCAGACTAGTATGTAAAGAAAACAATCACCATCCACCACCTCGTTTTTCATCACACAAGGGCAATTTTACCCTCAAAATAATGGCTAAATTAAATTTATATCCTAGTTTTTTTATACTTCACAGATAAGCGTGTGAGTGGTAATCAAGATGTGAGCATCACTTCTTGTTGACTGCGTGTGGTGGAATGAAAATCGATAAGCACGCAAACAACGCCCTGGGGAGTGCGCACGTGCGCGTCTGGAGGAAAATCGATGAGCACAATGTTGTGTGATTGCTAATCAAAGTTGTGGCTAAAATGCTTTGTCTAATTTTCTTCTCCTTTTTTGTTGATGTTGCAACACGGGGTCAAATTGACAATCAGGGTTAATGCGGTGACTGTGAATGCGGTGGAGATTGCTTTGTGACTTGGATTAGCTGCGTGAACCAAATACACCATCACTGGTTACTTGTACGGATTAAATCAAATTTAATCGTCATCCTAGATGTTAGGTTCCTGTGAAACTTGTGCTGGTATTAGAGATTAACCAGTCAGCGTAGGGATTGACCGTGAATCAGGTTGAATAAACACTGCAACTGCGTTCCATCCTCGCCGATACATGGACTGTTTTCCATTTAAGATGCCTCCTTGGTGGTTTGGCTTGTGCTACGGTCCGTGTCCACTGTACACAGCATTCTTACGTGCAATTGTCTGTCAAAAGCCTCTTTTCTGACCTAGAGATGTGGACCAATCGACGTGTGAAAGGCTCGCCAATTCAATTACTTGCTTTGTGTGTTTCACAGTCATGCACGGTGTGATCACACTTACTGACGACCACATACATTGGTCCACATTATGCATCATTTTCGGGGACTGGATCGAAGCCTGGGTGGTTTGCGGTAGGTAAACAGGAGCTACGGGGCTAAGGGGAGTGGCAATGCGTGATTAGGCGGTGAAATAGCCGAATCACACTGCACAACGCTTTTGCCCAAAGGAAGCGAAAGCCAAATGGGAGGAATTACACGCTATGCGCTGTCAGTGAACTGCCCAACTTGCCGTGTCGAGAGATCGTAGGTGTGTGTGTGTGTGTGTGTGTGTGTGTGTGTGTGTGATTCGGTCGGATGTATGTGCTGCAAGCCAACGCACTTGACGTGGGGTTGAGTGAAGGCCTCTTCAAGTGAACGCAGGATGAACGCAAAGCTACGATTTGTGGTGGAACGGTGGTGGTTGCCCACCACAGTGTGGTAACCTGAATACCTGATCCATCAGGTGCGTTTTTTGGTCTAGAAGTTCCATCTGCCTTTTTTGCCAGCATCGCACACGCATGTGGTGGAGATGCCAGCGCATGTGGCAAGTGGTTGATGCTTGTGCACTTGTGTGTGTGTGTGTGTGTGTGTGCGTGCGTCTGGACAACGCAACCTGCTCTGTCAATTGGACTACCTTGTAACATGACCTCTGTCGACTTCACCGTCTTGTCTACTGCATCAAGTGATCACACGATTACCACAGCTGCGTGCATTGTGATCGTCGTTTACAACGAGACGATCTGTTGTCAGCCCACTGTCGGTCAACTTGGAGTGTCCACAGGTGGCTGGTGAATTTGACAATTTCTGCTAACTTAGCGGATTTTCTTAAGACGCCCTTGCATTACCCCCAATATGGTAGTCAATGTGGTTGATGTGATGCCCTCAAGCACGTGAACGGGAGGTAGGTAGGTGAGGTTTGTCATGGTGTAGCTTTGTGTAGGGGGTTGGCGATTTCAACTGCACACGTCTGGCATCTGATCCTCCAAATGTCATGCAAATCGACAAAACGTTGAACCTGGATTCGCGAAGACACGATTCGTGAACTGGAGCCGTCGTTAGTGCAAATCAGCGCAAATGAGTTGGTGGAAATAAGAAGGGTTTTGATGATCGACACAAAGAGAAATAGGAGATGCAGAGGGAAGCGAGAGTGAGAGCAGGAGTGGTTCAACAACTCAGAGGTCTCGAATTGTGCATCTAACGTCAGCGCTCTTCCCGAAATGTTAGAAATTCCGCTCACGCCTTGGTTATTGCTGATGCAAGTGATTTGCTCAATGTTGATTGGCCTTAGCAGTATCTGATGGGCGTAAATCTGCAGGATCTGAATGAGAAGAAGGTGGTATTCGTGGATGGGACCTTTGTGATTCCATAAAACAGGTTCTAGAATTGACTTTTGCAAACGATCGCACCGCCTGTCTGATTGGCTGGTGCGCCAGAACTGTGCGTGTGGGTAAACGATGGGAAAATTTGCCTCTGACGTAGTAGTTGTTTTTGTTTTTGTGGTTTTGGCATGTGCGTGGATCAAAATCAATAAATTAGGCTGGGCTGTTTACCTTGTCTGCCTGGTGTAGCTGATCCCGTCTAGAATCTTCAGGGCTTAATGTCATTACTTCCACCTTCTGGCTTGTGAAATCATGAATTTTCACTCAGCTGAGTGGTTGCGTCTGCCAATTCGTGAATTTGATTAATTGACGCGGCATTGCAAGAAGAAATGTGAGGCAGGAAAGTGAGCAAGCGAACGGAGTAGTAGTTCAAATAATCAGCTTTCAGAAGTGGTCTATATTTCTTCCTTGTCTTGGTTCCCCATAGTTTAAAAAATCCAATTAGTGTGCTTTGGTGAACATAGATGAATGCATTGATTACTTGCAGGCATCATTTTAGGTTTTCCGACAAAACTTGCTACTTAAAAGTATCAGTAAATCTGATGTTTTGCGATGAGATGATCAGTTGGGTTCTTAAGATGTTACGCCCGGAAATCGATGTAAAAGAAGGTGCCGATGATGGAGATTTTCCCGTGACAATGATTTTGTATTCTACCACTGTGGAATTCTTTTCTAAAGAGGGTCTATCTTGCTAACCCTATCGACAAAACGTCATCGCTGGTGATTGAAAATCTAAGAATAAAAAATAATGTTAGGCTCATTCAGAAAACTCCAAGTAAATCGGTTACCCCATGTAGGGGGCCGGAAATCAGTGTGGTGTGCTGCACAAGAAGCTGAATTTTGACCTAAGCTGACGTCACACGACTGGTTAGCGAACGCCATTTAATAATGGACAAGTTGCTCTGGAAGTTGTTTGATCATGCGCGGATACTTGAATTCCAGGAACAATCACCGATGCTGTTGGCGTACCCTCTTACCCTCATCAGATGTGCACCAGCAGACGCGTAAAGGCGTTGCACTTTTTAACGCATCAAATGCCGTCTGCTCTCGAAACCGTTCTGCACCCACTTATTGATCCGATGTACTGATTAAGCCCCATCTGAACACTGGTTCTACCTACAGGAAGGTGCTTAAGCAAATTGTACTTTTTTTTAATCAAAAGGCCTCTTTTTAGATCATGCTTGTTTAAATCCTGGTGTGACGGTCAGTCCACCAATCAAATCTCAAGTCTGCTTGCCCGGCTAATTAGTGTTGATGCTGGATCCGCATATTTAATTAAAACAACTAGAAACGACTAACGACATATCCCAGTTAGGTGGTGAGATTACTACGTTAATTTTTTTAGCATTTAACATGGCATTGACACACATGTAGATAATTTTTTAGTAGCGACTCTAATGGGGCGACTTCAAGGTCACTATTATGCAAAGTTGATTCGCATTTGAAAATAGATTGCAGTAATTAAGTTACTAACTACATGTGGTAGAAGTCGCCTTAGTAAAAATTACAATAATTGATTAATTATTGATTTTAGCCAAACAGACGTTAAAAATTGAGAAAATGTTTTTTTTAAGAAAGTTAGAACATGAAAACTTTCTGCCGATATTTATAACGAATGTTTTGTGACCCCTAAATTTTCTTGCCCATACAACCAGCACAAACATTTCATCACATCTTCCAAATAATTCCATGAATTCATTGTTTACTGTGAATTACTCAGATATTTTGCACCAGTAAATCAGTCTCAGATAAGTTGTAATGTCAATTTGTGTTTGAGAAAAAATTATTTTTTATTGTAAAAGTGCGATTTATTTGAATGGGTGATTAGTCACGTAAACAAGTTCCCAATCAACTTAGGGAAAGCCTTATTGGTTACGCTGTGTCCTTGAAATCAGCACGCTAGTGACTTGAAAAATTGCCTGATCAATTTGAAAGAAACCTTATTGGCTGTGTTTTGGAATTTAAAGTTGAGAATTCGCCAATCAAAGCTTTCAAGAAATTTTAAATCTCAACCTCGTTTTTTTAAAACAGACACATGAAGAAACTATAAACCCATTCTAGCCTTAAAATTCAATCAATAGTTGCTTATTTTTGCATTAATTTTGGTTGGATGTTTGCTTTCGTGAGCATCCAATCAGAACGTAGTCATGAGTTCTGGAAGCCTATTGGCTGGGTGCATTGTACTTCGCAGTTATGGACTGGCAGAGCCTATTTGTTTTACTCTCTGTGTGTACTGTACCATCGCGCGTTTCCGCGAAGTATGAAGACGTCGACGGCATTCTCTACCACCTGGAACACTTGGATTTTCAGTTTGGTTACCCGGCAGACGTCTTCGGGTACATCTTCCCCACATTTGCGGTAACTTCAGAAGTGGCCGAAGGCAAGTACGAACATCGATGCACGCTTCACCCAGATCACATGACCTACTCGTCTCCGCGCTGCCGAAACGCCATTGTGGCTCTTCATGGCATTATGGGTGCAAAATTCTACAAAGCCCAGATCGAAAACACCTCACAGTGGCCCTACAATCCCTTCCCAGTCAGGTCTGTGGACGCTAACACACCAAGATGGACAAAGTCCTTGTACGATCAGAAACATGTCCACCTGCCCGTGTACCATCAGGACGACCTAGTCAAAGGCAGGAGCCACAACGAGGCAAGTGGACTACTCACCACGAAGCGAATGACTCAAATGATTGCAATTTTTGACGCATGCGCTAAGGCGCTTGCTGGTTGGTCAAATGACGGATCGATGCGGGAACTGGCCTGTGGATACGCGGAGTTCCTCAAGGTGATGCATGACACCAACGCGGGCACCCCACAAGCTGGGGTCTGGGTTCTGCCACAGACTGACAGCCGCACGATGTCTGGTGAGTTAACTGTAAAAAATGAAAAAAGGTCTGCTTATAGGTTGTAAAATATGAAGCACGAAACACCACCAGGCCAAATATGTGGTGATTTTGAACGAAGCATTTTGATTGGTCCAATATTATTTGTGGTCACCTTCTGCGCCAATCACAATCACTAGTCATGACAATTATCCTCTTTGATCTGTTAGCAATTGACCTAGAGGGAAATGCCCAGAATATAACTCTCCACGTGGCTTAAAGTCATGATATGTGAGTACTTGCATATCAAAACGAAGACTTTCTTTAGGCGAAAATTCCGAAGGGTAGGTCGCAAGCTTTGTGTAGTCGACTCTTGGTGTTTCAGAAGAGTTTGGAGCCTGGAAGCTAGCGCTTGAGAGTCGAGACCCGATGCGATTTAACAAATTGAAACCAAAATGCTCTAAACAGGGGGGGGGTGTCAGGGTTTGGGAACAGGTGGGGGGAGGTCAGGCAGTGTAACGATCAAGCCACTGACTTCGCATCCCTCAGCGTGTAGTGGTAATCGAGTAATGCGGTCAATAGATACGGCGTCTTCTTTTTCATGAAAAACTGTCCAGGGAATCAACCCAAGTCACCGTCTACGTCTGATCCAATCCCGAGTAGCACGAGGGGTAACACATCCGACCAATGGGATGAGTTGTAGCAACGGTTTCGGCGCCATTTCAAAAAAGTCGGAATCAGCCAATAAGATGCATGCACGGTCAATTTATCATATTACAGGGTTGTTTTGGCTGTTGTTTTGTAAACACGCCTGGCACAGAGCTATCGAAGTCTACGGCATGAACAGGAGTCATTCCGACCACCCCTCGTGTCCAAACACGTGTGCTCGCTACGAGGGCAACCCGTGCGTTGGGAAAGCCAATGTTGTCCAGGTCTCCCATGTCGCTATCGATCCTGAACGACGTACTCTCAAAGGTGATCGAATTTTCGGGATGCAGATCTGCAAACCCATGGGAGCCGGTGTCATGGACTACGAGTACATGTGCGTGTGTCGCAAGGTGGGTGTGAAAACCTCCTGCTTACAAAATAAACACTACTGACAAAATATAAGTAGAATTGTTTTTAGGGCTACGTCTGGTCGAGAGAGACAAGATCGTGCGTATTTCAGGACGGGTGTAGCAGGGACCCGGTGACGGGCTCAACCCCCTGTTCCCCCAAGGGGACACGACTGTGCATCTCTTCGGTTGTGAATCTGCCAAACGCTGCCGAGGCTGGAGGTGGCGGAGCTATGAGACTGCCCTACGTCTGCTCCTGTTACAGCGGCTACATGGGGCCGCGTTGTGAGCAAAAACGCAATGCCTGTATCGAGGTAGGCCAGATTTCCGGTTAGGTGTTATCGTGTGTTCCAAAGAATGAGGATTACTTGCAGCTGCCTGGCAACCAGGCGTGCCGGGTGCACCTCGGCAACAATTGCAAACCGCTTGTCGGCACAAACGTCTACACGTGTCACTGTAATGGGATGTACGAGAGAGACAAGGCCGTCGCGTTCCCCAATTGTTATCGACGCAAATCCATATGCAGCAGGGTAAGTAAGTAAATCACGCGGGTTTAAGGCAGCGTTCAGGTGATTTGTCGCCGTGGAGACTGCGTAGCTTCGAGGGACCAACAGAGCTACATTTGCCTGTGTCAGATGGGCTGGCGTGGCCGACACTGTGAAATTCCCGACATTCGGCAGTGGTAAATAACCACCTACTTATGTTTTGTAAGTAGGCGGTGCAAAACGTGCTCAATTTGAATGCCATTTAGGCTGCCGTGGGAGAGCTGGAGCAGGTGCTCGGCCACAATGTGCACTGGTTTGGGCTGGAGACGCCGAATTCGCAAGTGCCGGGTGAATGTGACCCTGCTGGAGGACAAGGGCATGTGTTCCGGTGACGATGTTCAGCGTCAGCTCTGCAAAGTGATGTAGGTGAATCGTATTTTTTTTCCTTTTTCGAATAACCTCGTGTTTCGCAATTGTAGGTGCCCCGATTCTATGTCGTCGTATGTCCTCCTGACGAAGATGATCCTGCTCTTCTCTGCCGGGTGTGTGATACTTGTCGCGGCCGTTGGAATCGTGTTTTTGAGAGTTAAAATCGAAGTGGCCTGACTTACTGTCGCAATTGCATTCTGATTGGCTGTTGATGCTTGAGGTAACGCTCTGATTGGTTTGTTGAACCAGTTGGTCATCCGCGTTTTTTAATGCTCGTGTTTACCCAATGAGCGCGCCCTTTGTATTTTAAACTTATTGATTGTTTAAATCTACCTTGTCCTCAATTTACGTAAAAGGTTTACAAAATTGGTTAGGTCTTACAATATTGAAACGTTTACTGGTTAGACAGTCCAAATGTATTAGTATATTTCGAAGAACTATTTGACCTGATCAAAGCAGTTGACCAATTATATATGCCTTAAGTGACCTTGATAACAAACCAATGGAGAGCCAATAGGGTGGAGGCGGTGTGTTTGACCGAAACACTTTTGCACTGCTCTAATATTGACAAAACTAAATTGTTGTGGAGAATGCTGACTACCACGACAACGAGGTGGGTATTTTGGGGAAGGAACGTCAAGCCTTGCACAACCGATGCAGATTTTCTCAAGCTTTTTAACCTCAAAATGTGATTAGTTGAGAATCTATGCTGTAGAAGGCCAAATGTCAAACAGCCAATGGGAGTCCAGTGTTCTTTTCAACAGCTTCTGTCTGGCTACCTGGGTTCGCTGCAGTTTTCTAAGGGTTGTTTCAAAAATGATCAATTTGACAAATAACTGAAAAGCATTAAAACGTGCCTAGTAGGTGAGAACTGTCATGGCCTACGTGGCTCACCTATGAAACTAAGTTAATATTGAGTGAGTTTGCTGTGGATTTCAATTTTCACGGTTGACTAGCAAGACCTTCTAAGGGGGGGCCTTTACTGACTGGTTGGCAAACCAACCCCGTGACAGCGGATTCCTTAGAATGCAGGTTTAGTAGTGAGCAATTCGTTGTATTCAAAAGTCACGCAGAGTTCGAAAGAAACTGCGGTCAGTAGGAGTTTTAGTTCAAGGCGTTTGGGCTTCTAATTTATCCTGAACTATTCTTTATTCAGAGGTTATAAATGCCATGATGCAAAAAGCCGACACTAGACAACATGGCGGAAATGGAAAAAACAAGCAGTTTAGGTGGTATCCCCTGCAAAAAAAGGTCTCAGTTGCATTGATGTGTATTATGAACAAATACTGAATGTATTTGAATTAAGAATTAAAGCTTACTATTATTGCAGAATGATGATGACACAGCACGTGTTTGAACGTTCTACAACCATCAACACAGTTTCAAGTCAAAACCCGATTCCTTACACCCATGCGGCCATTTTAAAACATCCAGCTGAATGCTTGTCTGTCATTTTACGTTAAAAAACCAGTATATGGTTTGATTTGCCATTTTACGTAGTTTAGATGGCAAAATGGCACGTCCTCGTTCACACCAAGCCTTAATTAACCTGTACACCTACCACAACACACTACCAACCACTCGAAAGGTATTCGTTAGCGCTGACGAATAGCCAATCACTGTAGTGTCCCGAGTTTGAGATTTTGGGCCTGTGACGTCTGGCGTTCCTGACTACGTTTGCTGTCATTATTTGTTCCTTTGACGGGTTCTCTTGTCCACGGAATTCGGACATTGCCGACTAGAAATACGTTATTGTAACTGCAGTGGTTTTTAGCAAAAATTGCTTAAGTTGAGCGAAAGACCAATTTTTAAGGCGCTTATTTAGATGGGTTAAAACGGGGACACCATCTACACACAACCCCTACAGCGGTTCTTGAATTTTGCTATCCTTTTTGATGCCATTTGGGTAAAATTCCTTTTCAAACATTCGTCAATAGGTAACAATTGACTAGGGTTTTGTAAGCACGGACAACTTGTGCAATTGCGGTTATACTCGCCGGAGGCGAGAAATTTAAAGCGTTCGACGAAGATGAGCACGGCTAATTACGTTGGCACCTTGTAAGCGGCGCTCTGTAAGAACCAGAATTTAAACGAATAAATCAATACTAAAATGGCAAATGTTGCGGCTTTAACAACTCCAAGCGTTGTCGCATTTTGTTCTGAATAATTTGCTTGAAATCACCGCAGTTTAACCTTAGTTTTTAGAGGAACATATACTGCGATTAAATAAGTGCTCCCGGTTACGCTGCCAGCTTCCCCATTGGTCTGCTGGGCGTCTACTTAAAATGTTGAGCCATTGGAGTTCACCCGTCTACCCAATTAAATCTAACGTTAATGTTCTAACGAAATGAATGGTCTTTAGGTAACTGCCAATCATAGTCCTCGGTGCTCATAGTAAGCACCAATCAAATTTGGTTTCAAACTCAGCATCCACAGCGGCTGTTTATCAACAGAACAACTCTAGCCTCCCGTTCAGAGTAGGCACAACGAAGTTTAACCATGGCTTTTGATATTTTAAAGGACACCACGTAACAACCAATCAACGCGGAAAAATGAGAATGATTTGCCAAGTTAGCCCATAACAGTGGTTGTGCCGAGGGTCAACTGATGAGTAGTCAATGTGATCGAAACACTTCCCCACCCCTAGCTGAACCTTCTTAAAATTAAAAAAAATATACCAAAACGGGCTAGAATGTACTTTGGCTACTTGCATTTTGTGAATTGTGCGAATCTAGACAAGTACACAGGGCAGATTATTCATGGCACAGTCTACAAGAGCACACAGCCGATAAAGTGCAGTAGAAAAGAGGCATTATAACTAGATGTCATCCCGTTGAATTTGAATTCTCCCAGCATGTACCTCACATGTAGCTCAGTCCGATGCCAACCTGAAAACCAGCTTGCGGAGCATCGTCCGGTTGAGGATTAACTGGGAGGCAGTAGTTGAGTTCCAGCCGTGCGACATTGACGAATCGAAGGATCAGACCGGCGCCAAGAACGTACCGAGGCTGGAAGTCGAGTAGTTGCAGGAATCGATCGAGTTGACCGCCCTGGTTGCGCGCTACCTTGAAGGCTCTGATGGGATCTGCTAGGAGACTTCCTACAAACAAACAAATAGTCAATGAAGGCGCGGGGAGTAACTGGCGTTCTTTGCCCACAACAACTCACCGGCCATGGCGAAGGCGTGGAGTCTGAAGAGGGAGGCCACAGATTCCCTCGCTTCGCCCCAGAAGGGTAGTGGTGAGTAGAGGTGGAGACCGCCCATCCACGATCCCAATGCCCCCACCGGACACGTGGGGCCCTGCGCCTCACCACTTCTCAATGGGGCATCCACGTAGACCGGTTTCGGCGTGAGCAGGGGTTCTGACGGACCCACTGAGTAGTACTTGTAGCCACGAAGGTCGAGCGGACCGCCCATGAAAAATCGATCGGCAATCGATACCTTGGTAGAGAGAGTGGGCAAGGTGTGCGAGGGGGGATTAAGGCAAGGGCACAAGCACTACAGGCGTTTAGATGGCAGTAGTAGGGGTAGCCGAAGTCTTACCGCGTGGGATGACAACGAGTGGACAAAACCGGCGGAGAATGTGGCCTCGGCGACTAGCCAGCTGGTGAGGCGAAGTGGAAGTTGAAGGAGCGAGTCCATTCGAAGTTGCGTTGATTTGTCACCGGCTGTCCTGTGACATAAAAATTGAAATTGTGGTTCGAGGAGTGCATGAGGTGACGGTGGTGGGGGCGGAGGTGGAAGTAAAAATGATGCGGCGTAACAATTCAAAAGATTGAAAAAAAAACTAGACGACTTGCCCAACAGGAGTTGGCGAAGCAGCCTCCAGACCGATGGCTCCGCGTGGGGGCGCAGGGCTGATGAAAGAAATTTCCTGCGTCAGACGAAACAGCGCCCCGTCATCCGGGAAGATACGATCCGAGCGACTGTCAAACTCGAATTGGTGACGGAAGTTCGTCTTCAGCGACGGTCCGCTCTCTAGCCGTACGTTAAACGGTGTCGTGGGACATGAAGACGCTTGGAAAAACATTAAACCTGATTGAGCGTGTTAATAATCATTAGGTGGATGGATTTATAGTCACTGGAACGGACTCGTCGACATTATTTAAGAGCAAGCAAGATCAAAACATATTCGACAGCAACGAGTTATAGCTACCAAAGATGCTCACGTAAAATAGAAGCCACAGAGTTAAAGAAACCCACCAAATAACACCACCCAACACAACGTCCAGTGAAGCCGATGCAATATTCATTTTAAGCAAAAGGATAGGAATCAATTAGGGAGGAAATTGTCCATTTTTGAGACTTAAGGGGCCCTACGAAAACTAATTTCCGACAACCAGACGAAATATTTTGAGAGGATAACTTTACGGGGAACATGGGGACAAATTATGCGTTGTGCTTACATGAAGGCTCAATTTCTCTCCAGACATTGCTCCAATGCAATTTATGGAGACCAAACCGAGAAGGCGAAGCAACTTCAGCAAAAATAGTACTCTCGTTCCGAAGAAATTTTGACCACCAATGATCGTAGGTGCCATCCGAACCACCGAAACTCACTTTGACAGAAGCGTTGTTCTGGACGGGCTTTATAAAACAGGCTGATCTGCATGAGAATAATAAAAGTTTGCAAAATTGTACCTCATAGTCGATGAATCCCTTCCCACATTTCCTTCGATCTCCAAACGCTCGGCTCTGTGAAACATGTTAAGTAGTGCGAAAGAGCCACCCAGGCGCATGGAGCCGTCAGTATTCACAGTCCACTGGGCTTTAAGTGCCTGTGGTTTTTTTTCTTCCACAAAAATATTAACCTGGGTACAAAAGTGTCCACAGTAAGTTAGAAGTTCATAAGTAGTCTACAGAAAGTTAAACCTACATTGTAGGCGTCAGAACGACTGGAATACTTCTCCGTATCAATGGAGACTTCACAAAACTTGAAAATCTGGAGACCCAGGAGGAGAGACTTTAGCTCGCTTGAATTTTTTAAAAGTTCGGACATATTTTTCGATTTGACTAAATCGGTGAGCTACACTTTAAAAGCATATAGAGGTAGCCCAACCTGCCTCCTAAGAAAGTCAGCATTTGTCCTACGAAGCCCTTTAAACGATACAGCAGTCACATAAACTGGAACATCGTCTGTTTTGTATCTCCCATTGTCTGCCATGACCGAACACGAAAGTAACCACAGATTGGTGTTTAGAGATTATCTGAATTCGGGGTTGATAAATAGCTCACTTTAAAAATGTATGCAAAGCACTTGGCTTAAAATTTACTGATAAAATGTCTCTTTGAAAACTACATCTTAAATATCGAAAGAACAATTTTTGAAAGTCAGTGTTGACGCATTCTGTAAAAAACTTGAAATGAAACTCCTTATTTTCAACAACACCACTTTGGTCGATGGCAAATTTTATAGGTCGAACTTTCTTTCTGTCTTAATCAAATTTGTACAACGCTTTGATGGTTTTTGTCCCTTTTCACACTGTCGAACTAAGTTACCTATTGTTTCTTAGGCACGATGGCAATGTTTCAGCGGATTTTTTTTGTTCCGTTAATTTATAAGTTTTAAAAAATTGTACATTTATGCGCTCTTCTAATATAAATTTCCTGTCCCATATACATTTTCGCATTAAACGTTTTTCCTGTGTCTGTATCCAATATGTTTTAGGTCGTCCTTAAATTAAGAAACTTCTGATTTATAATGGCTTACTTTCTAAGGAAAACCGATGTTAATATTAATGTTGAAAAGGAGACACGGACAAATGGAATGCAAAATGACGGCTCATTCACCTTATTATGAAACTAACAAATGGCGCAAAATTATGATATGGCTTAGCTTCTCTATCCACTTTCATGAGGCTAACCCAAAAATGTTTGCTTTTGCAAGTACCTTACTATCCATTGTCTTTTGAATTCTGTGCTGGGCAGTTTGGCACTTGGCTGTTTCGTTCATTTGTCAGGGCCCCTTAAAATATTTATGGCTTGTTACCAGATTTCTGTAGTGCCAATTTTATAAACACACATTTCTACTACGTACTCTGCGTTTTTAATTTTCTCTCAAGTCCAGCCAACATCTTGATCCATTGGCACAGTGTGATTTAGCATCTTGTCAATTCCCTAAGTTTCTAATTATATCTTCTTTAATTGACAGAACAAAAAAAGCTTAACCAATACAAATAATACGTTGCCATGAGAGCACTAGACTCGACTTCACTTGTAAAATGAGTATTAGAAATACATATTAATCATCGATTTTGCTTTTAATATATTTCATTTTTTATTCGTGTTCAAGCTGAAACACGACTTGCTTAGTTCTTAAGACAGAGAAAAACCCACCTACATAGAAAAACGTGTTTATTGTGAAAATATACCCACTGATTTAAACGCAATAGTCCCAATACCGCTTACCGACGTCTTAACTTATCGCTTCAATACAGTGGGTAGGGACTGTTTTGGGGATCACAATGACCCTGAATAGTAAAAATACAATAGGCGGGAGAGAGGGCGGAGGGTACAAATGAAGTGGCCTTGGGGGATAACACAAAACTGGGTGTCGCGAAATGAGTGTCAGTGTGTAAGGTGGGCGCCACGCAACTTAGATAAAATTTGGTTAGCTTCGGCTTTGGTAAAGTACCTTTGGTATTTGTGAGAGGACGCTCTTATTACGAAAGAGTTGAGTGGGGGTCAGTTGGGTGAGTCTTCTCAGACTGCCATATTCTTAGGCGGCAGGAGGGGACCATTCCCGACGAGGGGATGATTTGAGGCCTCAGGGGAATCGCACTGAGGAGAGGGCTCATTTGTACCCATTGACAGCCTGTAAGCAAATACAAGACGCGGGATTACACTTGAAATCAATGCAAGGAGGCTGTGCAGCACCTAACCGACGGCAACAGACCCTTGATTTTCCGAGTCTGAAATGGTCGATTCGTCCTCTTGCTTCATCACTCCCTGGAAGCCCTCAACCCCTTGGCAACTCGTTCCCTGGTCACAGATGGCCGACGTGCCGTTTTTAACCGGTGGTGTAGTTGCCGCCGCAGCGACAACAGGCAGTAAGAGGGGAGCGAGCGGGGTGGTTGGCGAGCTGGCAGGAAAAACGCCAGTTGCGGGGAACGAGGGTGTTGAGGAGGGGTTCAGCTTCTGCTCTTCCGAGAGCCTGCGGTTGCGAACTGCCGCTGCCACCGCCGCCGCAGCCGCCGCTGCCGACGTTGTCGACGACATCACAGATGTATTTGGGATGGTTTTAACGCGACCGGAGTAATTGCGTCCCAGCACTCGACCGCCGCCCGTTTTCGGGTAACTGCAAAATACACAAAAGCCCTGTCAAATTCCCGCGTTGGATTCGAAAACACCAGACTAAACCCAGAGCAACTTACAACGCGGACTTTCCGTCCTTACGCTGAAGGCATTCCTGCTCATCGAATATCCACACGGAACCACCGGCCGTCTCTACCCGACGGAAGCATTTGTGCAGCGAGAGGTTGTGGCGAATCGCGTTCTAGGTAGAAGATATACAAGCGTTTTAACCAATCAAATTCTTGACCTGGCGTTACAAGATTGGAATGCAGGCGTCCGAGTACTCACTTTCCACGTCGCCTCGTTCTGTCGGAAGTAGAGAAATTCCTTTTGTAACCAAGCGTAGATTTCGCTGAGTGAGAGGCACTTGTTCGGGGACTCACAGATCGCCTGTCTGATGAGCGAGGCGTAGGTGAAACGCGGTCGAATGCACTGGGTGCGGTAGAACTGCCGCTGACTATGGGAGCACTCTTCAGCTACCCCCGGGGGCACCGAATGGGGTTCTCGTTTCTGCGGAGGTGATGTAGCTGTGGACGCGGCTGCTTGAATTCCCTCCTCATTGGCGCTTGATGGTAGTTGCTTCTGCACAGACGAAGGACTGGTGAAGGTGTCAACTGCTACAACACAAAAGGTATTGATTTAAACAAAACATTTCGACTTTAAAAATGATGAAGATGATGGTGGTAATGGAGGACGAGGAGGAGGTAGTGGTTCTGGAGGAGATAACGGTGGAGGAGATGGGACGGTAAAGATGAAGGTGGAGGAGGAGGAGGAAGGGGTGGTGTAGGCGAAGGAGAAGGAAGGGGTGGTGGAAGTGTAGGTGAAAGAGGGAGAAGGGATGGTGGAGGTGTAGGGGGAGGAGGAGGTGGAAGGGATAGTGGAGGTGTAGGTGGAGGAGAAGAAAGAGGCGGTGTAAGTGGATGAGGAGGTGGTGGTTCTGGAGGAGGTAATAGTGGAGGAGATGGGGATGGTAAAGATGAAGGTGGAGGAGGAGGAGGAAGGGGCGGTAGAGGTGTAGGTGGAGGAGGTGGGAGGAGTGGTGAAGGTGTAGATAGAGGAAGAGGCGGTGGAGGTGCAGGCGAAGGAGGAGGAAGGGGTGGTGAAGGTGTAGGTGAAAGAGGAGGAAGAGGTGGTGGAGCTGTAGGTAAAGGAGGAGGAGGAGGAGGTAGTGGCGGTGGTGGTGACGAGGAAACACTTGCCATTTGCAGAAGACGGCGCCGTGCTCTTCATTGGCAGAACATCCGCGGTTGATAGCGATGCAGTTGGAATACCAGCCGCCATCGGTCGCGACAACCCAAAAATCGAGTCTGGGTGGTAGGGGAGGCCTTGTGGAGGCACTGAATGCGCGCCTCCATTGTCCATGGGCACGGCGGAGGCGGCGGCGGCTGCAGCAGCATCCAGACGCGAAAGAAGAAGGTTATTCAGGAGAGCCTGTTCTGCACCGCCTGCTGGAACTCCTCCACCGCTCTCATTCATGTACTGTAGGAATGCAAGGGTCCGCAGCATCGGGTCCGTCTCCACGCCCAGTTCTTCGCTAACCGCGCGAACTTAAAATGTCAAGGTCATTAGCGGCGCAATCCTTAAATCGATTGGGCCAAAACAGAGTACGATCGAGGGCGAAGTTACCTTTGTTGGGAGGTGGGTTAGACCCGCTGGAAGACGGATGAAAGGCATTGCAAGGCGCAGCGCAACTGGTGGTAACAGGGGGTGGAGGAGGTCGGGTAATTGGGAGGGGGGAAGCACGGGTCGTCGTCTGACTCGAAAGTTTCTGTCGCTGGTGCTCCAAAATCTTCGATCGCCGCGCTAAATGGTCCACCATGCAACGAACGACTTGCGATTCTGTGACGTACTGAAATTGCAGACCTGGTAGTTTAGAATTTGTGCCAGAATTTGTGTAACTTTCGTGCTCCTGCTTGACGCAAAATAGCCTTACTACTAACTCTTTTTGAGTAACTCAACAAATAAAACGCATTATTCCAAGACCGAGTCGACGAACGAATCCACAGCATTGATTGGTCGGTTGAAGGACGAATTAAAAAAAACATTGCTTTGCCTGTACGCACGCAAGAATGAGTTTGTGCGCGTGTTTACCTCTAGACGTTGAGGTAAAAAGTGCATTTGCGCGGTAAACAGTTGTTTTGTATGCTGCGCGCTTCGGATTTTGCGCCAAAAAAAAACCAACGTCTCCTGCGTGCAAAGACCAAAATCAGATGCAGCGCTCAATTTCAGTGTTTAACTACAAGCCAATCAAAATTAAGGCAGTTTGGCGGTGTTATTCGTAGTTTGTTCCACGAAACCCGATTTTTAACCTGTTTCACATCTGGTTGGTCGAACAGAAGACACTTTACGTACCTTCTTGTAGACGACCTCAAGTCCGAAAATTCGCATCTCCAACTGAGCGAGTGTTTCCAAGGAGAGTTCATGGGCTTCGTCGGCGTGGCTAAAGCAGAAGAATACGGTAAGGTGGTGCCTGAAAGTGTCACAAACAAATCGGCACAATCATCGGCATCATTCTCTCGTCAAAAACGCCTTCTTTTTAAACGCCGGTGCCGAATCTGTGTTGGACTGTGCAGTTAGCGGCTAAAAGTAGCAAAACATTATAGATTTCGTTGGTTACAAGCCTAGTTTTATCACGTTTTCTTCGAAATCTGTTGGTGGGAGTGGAATCATTGGAAAAGATTTGCACGATTTGATCCAATTGTGTGGCTATGACGATGGCAAGAACGAAAAATTTGTCCACTCTAGATGACAAATCGCCACAACGGAAGTTGTAAACCCCTTCCAGTTGAGCGACGGACAACATCGTTATTTAAAGAGGAAAAAAAGTACGAATTAACAAATAAACAAACAACGAAGGTCTAACACACGTAGGGCACCTAACCTGCAGATGGTATGCAAAGATTAACTGCCATTAAAATAGTTAATTTGTCAATTCGGAAAAGACATTTAACCAACTACGCAGGTGTCATCTTTTAATTGAAATTGATCACACAGGGAATTCCTTTTACGTTGGAATCTCCCAAATGACTTTGCCAGGTGGTCATGGTTAATCTGAAAGTAGCTTTCGTTTCGTCGCCAGTTCTCGGCTCCTCATGCCGATCGGTTCGAAGGAGGTGTGAGCAGTACTCGGTATCAGCCAATCAGATAACTTCCGGATTTGATTGGGTGGACAGCTTAA